GTCCCATCCTGCTGGCAAAAAGTGTCTCCATCCCTCGGGAGAGCCGCCCTGGAGCTGCCAGCTCGGCTCCTGCGGAGGTTCCCATCCCATCCTGCTGGCAAAAAGCGCCTCCATCCCTCGGGAGAGCCGCCCTGGAGCTGCCGGCCCGGCTCCTGCGGAGGTTCCCGTCCCATCCTGCTGGCAAAAAGTGTCTCCATCCCTCGGGAGAGCCGCCCTGGAGCTGCCAGCCCGGCTCCTGCCAGCCCTGCCAGCTGGCAGAGCTGCTGCTGGGCTGGCCAGGGCTCAGGGCTGCGGGCAGAAACTCCCTGAGGCGGCATGGCCTGGGGAGTGCTGCCTTGGGAATTCGGGAATTCAGGAGTGCTGCCTTGGGAATTCGGGAATTCAGGAGTGCTGCCCTTGGGAATTCGGGAGTGCTGCCCTTGGGAATTAGGGAGTGCTGCCCTTGGGAATTCGGGAATTCAGGAGTGATGCCTTTGGGAATTCAGGAGTGCTGCCTTTGGGAATTTGGGAATTCAGGAGTGCTGCCCTTGGGAATTCAGGAGTGCTGCCCTTGGGAATTAGGGAGTGCTGCCCTTGGGAATTCAGGAGTTCAGGAGTGATGCCTTTGGGAATTCCAGAATTCAGGAGTGCTGCCCTTGGGAATTCGGGAATTCAGGAGTGCTAAACTTGGGAATTCAGGAGTGCTGCCTTGGGAATTCAGGAGTGCTGCCCTTGGGATTCAGGAATCAGGAGTGCTGCCCTTGGGAATTCAGGAGTTCAGGAGTGATGCCTTTGGGAATTCCGGAATTCAGGAGTGATGCCTTTTGGGAGTTCGGGAGTGCTGCCTTTGGGAATTTGGGAATTCAGGACCAAAGGGAGTTTTGGTGTCAGTGTTAAAGCTCTGCGTGTGCAGAGTGACTCGTGGCTGGTGCTGTGAGGAGAGGAGACCTTCAGCAGGATCTGCTGCTCTGTCTCCTTCCAACAGCTGCTCCAGGAGGTGCAGCCCGGCCCTGGGTGCATCCCCTGGCCCCAAAATCAGCGTTCTACAGCCATGCACAGCAGCTGGCAGCCAGAAGTGCAGAACTGGGAGGGTACAGGGCAATTTCTGTCGCTGATGGGCTGTTCAGAGGTGCATCTCACTCCTCTGTGCAAACAAGCGAGGAGTGAGCTCCTGGCTCGGACTGGAAGTGAAACAAGGGAATATTGGCAATTTAGCTGCAGATCACTGCCTGTATTTAGGGCAGTTTTCCAAATCCAGCAGCTGCCTGGGATACTGGTGAGCTTCAGAGAGGACTTTGGAATTTGCCTCCACTTTTCCCTCCTTTTGTGCTGCCAAACCCCAGTGACACAGAGCACACCCCACGTGGGGCTAGCAGCTCCACCTCTGAGAACCCGCTTCTGGATTTGAAATCGTGTCAATAATTCCGTGTAGCAATGGTCCAAACTGGGCAGCCCTGTCAGGGCAGCAGGGCTCCCCAAACCCCATCTCCAGGCACTAAAGCAAGGCCTGGCACATTCTGCTCCTCGGTCTTGGCCTGCAGAGCAGATTCCGGGGCAGCCCCGGTCACTGACAGCGTTTAGAAGTGGTTCCTTTCAGAAACACACAGAACTTTGCATTTTCTAGCTCGGCTGGGTGGGAAGAACACAGAGGAGTTCCTGCTCGTGGCAAAAAATAAAGCTGCTCCAGGCTGTGTTTGCCAAGGTGGAAGTGTTTGAGGACCAATCTTCCCATTTTTATTACATGTTTTAATAAGTGCCTGAGCCCCTGGAATGGTTCATCTCCCATTCCCCGAGGAGCTCCGGCTTCCACAGCACCCTCGGGGCTGTTTCTGGAAGTACAGCTCATCCTAGAGCCAATTCCACGCTCCCATTCCGGTGATTTTCCCCATCTTTTCCGTGGGGAATTGTGGAAGCCACGTGTTCTGCAACAGAGATTTTCCCGAAGGACTGGGTTTTGCACTGAATATTAAAACCTGCACTTCCCGCGGCTGCCACGTGTGCCAAAAAGAGTGTCGATGTGTCATTAAAGATGCAATATTTAATTTTAAGTGAGAAATCCGCACTTTGGGCGAGGCTTTGCGGGGCTGGGGGGACACACAGGGTCCCGCTCCCGGGGCGGAGATGCGGGGCTGGGCAAGGGCTGCCCCGAGCTGGCTCCGATCCCGATCCCGATCCCAATCCCGGCCCCTCGATCCCGGGGAGGAGCCAGCGCCATCCCGCCCCATCCCGCCCCCGTTCCCACGGCGACCGGAGACGCGCGCCGGGAGCAGGTAGGTCCTGGTACCCACCGCATCCCACCGCATCCCACCGCATCCCACCGCATCCCAGCCCGTCCATTCCACCTCTCCCCATCCCACCTCACCTCAACCCCCCCAGTCCCATCCCATCCCACCCCCACCTGCTCTCTGTCCCATCTCTCCCCGTGCCACCCCATCCCCGGCATCTCCTCACCCCCAGCATTGCCCTGTTCCTGTTCCTGTTCCTGTTCCTGTTCCTGTTCCTGTTCCTGTTCCTGTTCCTGTTCCTGTTCCTGTTCCTGTTCCTGTTCCTGTTCCCCACATTCCCATCCCACAGCCCATCCCAGCCTTGCTTCTGAGTGTCCCTGTGCCCCAGACCCCATCCCATCAATCCCACCCCAACGTCTCCCATCCCATCTCATCCCATCAATCCCATCCCGCCCCATTCCATGGATCACATCCCATCCCATCAATCCCATCCCACCCCATATCACCCCACTCCATGGATCCCATCCCATCAATCCCACCCCTTATCACCCCATTCCATGGATCCCATCCCATTCCATGGATTCCATCCCATGGATCCCATCCCATTCCATGGATCACATCCCTTCCCATCAAACTCATCCCATCAATCCCATCCCATCCCATTCCATGGACCACATCCCACTCCATGGATCCCATCCCATCAATCCTGTCCTATTCCACCCCATCCCATCAATCCCATCCCATCCCATCAATCCCATCCCACCCCATCCCATCAATCCCATCCCACCCCACTCCATGGATCCCATCCCTCTCTGAGGCTCAGTCCCTGCAGGATTTCCTTTTCCCCTCAGGTTCAGCAGTGCTGGCACCCTCCCCTGGCACTGAGGTGACATCCAGCGTGGGGACTCGGATGGACACAGGGCCCTGTCACCCCCCGCAGCCTCCTGCACCCTCTGTGAGTTCCCAGCAGCACTTTTGGTGTCCCTTCTGTCCTTCTGGTGTCCCTTCTGTCCCTTTTGGTGTCCCTTCTGTCCCTTTTGGTGTCCCTTCTGTCCCTTTTGGTGTCCCTTCTGTCCCTTCTGGTGTCCCTTCTGTCCCTTCTGGTGCTTCACGAGGAGTTTGGGATCGGTGACACCAGTGCAGTGGTGGCTTTAGGCAGCTCTTTGGGGTCTCGCTGCAGTCACAAACCCCACAAACCCCACGGGTGAATTCCTGACCCGCCCTCGTTTGTTTTCATCCCCCCAGCGCCAATTTTAGTGACCAAAAATGCTCAAGGACAAGGGCTGGGGTGATGCTGGAAGTGGCCAGGAGATGGCAATGCCACCAGGCCAGGAGGTCACTCACCCAGGAGCAGCTGCTGGGGACATCGCTGCCCCGATGGCTTTGGAGTCACCGGGCAGAGGAGCACTTTGGGAAAATTCAGGGAAAATTCTGAAGCATCTCTCCTGTCAGCGAGGGGCTGCTTGCAAAAGTAGCACTGGAAGGCACCTATTGTATAAAACTGACAGGAAAACACAACCCCTGCCACAAGCAGCTGGAAATGTCGGAGTGAAACACAAAGGGAGAAGTGGAATTTAATTTTTAGAAGTTATTTTTAGCCCCCAGACCCATTTGTGTCCCCACAATGGACAGGAGAATGGCTCAGCACGTCCAGCCTGGTTTCTCTTCCCTGGCATTCAGGCAGAGATAAGAAACCTCCCGCAGAAGGAAATCTTTGATGAGAAAATCTCTGAGCAGGGCTGTGCCTGAGCCTGGCGGGGGGAAGGAGAACATTTGGAACATTTTGCCTTTGCTGAGCTGGTGTTGGGGCAGGAGGTGGCTCTGCAGGAGGGAGATGGGATGGAAGGAAGCCCTTGGTCGACCCAAAAATCTCAGCATCCTTCCTTGTCATATTACAAATCCTCTGTGGATGTGTGTTTGAAATATAAAAACCAGGTGGTACATATATATAATGCAGCAAATATAAATATATATAGTAAATTATTAGCCAAAAACAGCTTTTTAAACTGCACAGTGGAAGCTCGGAGTGTGTTTTGTTGGTTTTCCCTTCAAAATTAGGTCGCTTTTTGTCTCATGGGGGAACCACTTTGTTTTCCCACAAAATTTTATTGGAATTGCACCAGCATAAGCTACTCAATTGCATTTAAAAATGGGGTTAAATATTTATTTAATGGCATTTTGAAGCTCAAAAGTAAACGGGATCAAGGCTCCAAGCCCCCAGCAGCTCCAGCTTACAAGGCTTTGTGCAAAGCCTCGCTGTTTAATCTGTTGTTTTGCTTAACAGATGTGGCATTAGAACCGATGAAAACATCAAAATCTCCACTCCCACGGAATTAGGAGAGCAAACAGGAATGATTTCAAAGGGGAGGGCAGGGAACCACATCCTTTTGGGTTGGTTACAGAGGGGAGCGACCTGTTGCTTCTCTCTCTGTATTTTAGCTGTGACAGGCTAGAACTGTGAAATCATGCCATCAATTTTTCCTCAGGATGCTTCAACGCTTAGACAGGGGGGAAAAAAAAATTGTTTTTAACTGCATCTCACGCTTAGAAATGCATGGCAAGACATTTTGGAAGCCGAGGGCAGCGGGGGCAGTGCTGGCAGGGCTGCTCGGTGCCTGCCGGGCACAGCCCCTGGCTGGAGGGGCTCTCGCCCATTCCGGTTTCATTTTAATTTTTTATCTTTCCCCCGGGCACTTCCCGTAAGGTGACACCAGCTTGGAGAGGCAGCCTGAGACACTCGATGCTTATTGCTGTGGTGGGTGCACTTCTTGATGTAGAGAGCGAGCTGGGGGTTGTGTTTAATTGTTTGAACGTTTTCTGTCGAGTTTGGTTTTTTTTTTTTTTTAAATGTGGTTTTTTTTTTTTTTATTATTTGAAAAATGCGATGTTTAAACTTGCAAACCTCCCAGCTGTCGTGGCCTGGCTTGCCTCTTCCTGTGGCTGCAGAACGAAATTGTCTCAGTGCTTTGCTGCCCGTGCAAGGCATCACCTCCCTCCCTCCCTTCCTTCATCCTGCTCCTCCTCCTCTCTCCCCCCGCACCAAGCAGAGCTCGCTGTGTACGGCGGGTTTGAAAAATCTCATTTACACAGCGGCTTTTGGGAGAGGTTTTTTTTGGTGGTTTTTTTTTTTTTTTTGGCTTTTGCCTGGAAATGGGTTTCAGATGTTTTCCCCGCGCCTGCATCTCGTAAAGCCGCGGCCGTTGCCGCGACAACCGAGTGACATCTCCGCCCGAGCTGCTCCCTCCTCCGCCGAGCATGCCCACAGCCGTGCTCCGGGCTGCACAGATGGGACCATGAGCGCCCTTGCCGAGCAGCTCCCGGCCTTTGTGCTCGGGAGGAAGAGGAGGGAGAGGCGCCCCGAGGCGCCCCGAGCGCGGCCGCGCATCCCCTGAGCCCCCCGGCCGCCGCCCGCCCGCCCGGGACGATGCTCGCCTGCCTGGCCAAGGGGAATCTGCTGGATTTCCTCCAGGAGGGCTTCACCGAGGTAAAGCCACGTCCCCGAGCTCGGCCGGGAGGAAGGCAGAAGGGTTTCGTGCCGAATTGTTGCGTCGGTGGGGCAGAAAAGCGGGGCGAGCAGCGAGGTTCCTCCCCGGGGGGCTGCGCTCGGGCAGGAGTTGGGTGAGGAGTTTGTGGCCGGATTTTTGCGCAGCTCTTGGGGGGGGTTTGTGCCTTTCTCGCTGCTTTGCTGCCGTCCCGGTAAATAATACAAACTGCTGGAGGCTGTGGGACAGCGTTTGCTGTGTTAAATCGGCTCCTCTCCTGAGGGATGTGCGGTGTCTGTGTGCCTGGGGATGTAAATCTGCTTTATGGACTCGCAATTCTTGGAGCTGTTTTGGGGTTCCCCCC